GCATGGTAGGCCCATCTTGCCCACCCAGGATTGCCGCATTGATCCCGAGCATGAAATAAACTTTAAACTTAAACTTTAATGATAAATACTCCCAAAAAAAGGTTTTTCAGTACCTATTTACAAATATGAAAGCTAACTATATCTGACAAGCTATTGTTAAATTCTAAATTCTGTCACTCGATCATTCATTCATGGCAAGTTTCAGGACTTTCTTAAAGGCCTTTACAGATGTAACGTTTCTCAGGTCTTCGTCTAACATGACTCGAGCCGGCAGAATTGAGTAGCGTTTGGCAGATTATTTAAATAAATACAGAAGAGCAGCGGCGAAAGAATCGCTCCCTGGGGGACTCCGTGGGACTCATTCGCTCCGACGAAGGGCTAACGCTCGAAACGTCAGCTTTTATAATCGTAACGGTGGCCAATTTACCATTTCAACTTTGTTGATATATTCAAAGGACTCCGCGTGTGATTGGTAATGGATCTGATAACACACAATCTATACGCACTGATTGGATCCGATCTGAAAGGTAGCTACGGAACCACTGAACTACGGTGGGTGAGGCACCTACAGTGGAGAGTTTCTGGAGTAACTTATGATGGCAAATACTGTCGAAAGCTTTTGAGAGGTCGAGTAAGACTGATGCACTGATTTCCTTTTTGTCCATCGCCTCTAAAATTAGATCGGTACTATAAATATTCAAGGTCTCAGTTGAATGGAATAACTCATTGCCGCTTTGATGGAATGACAAACGGTTACGTGACGTTTGGTAGGTGATAAATTGTTTTAGAGCAATTTTCCCACAAATGTTAGACATAACATTAAGTAGCGACAATGGCCGATCGTTCAAAGGTTTTTCGTGGTCTCCCTCTTTTAGGAGTGGGATGACCTCAGCGATCTTCCATTCTGATGGAAAGGTAGAGGTACCGAGTGAGCAGTTGACTATCTCAGTAATAGGCCCGAGTATTACTTGTAGAGCGTCTTTGAAAACTCTAGCTTTGGTTTTGTCGGGTCCTGGTGCTCTGTTTAATGGTAAGGACAAGATGACACGCCTCGCATTTTCGATGCTCACGGGAGTGAACTCCAAGCAATCATCGGAAGATGATATAAGATCTGGTATAAATGAGTTTGAAGGGATGATATTATTTCCTAATGCTAGCTTTGCAACAGCTTCAGCCGTGCGACTTCCTGCGGATGAAAAATATGAATTAAACTCATTTGCCACGATATGAATTAAACTCATTTGCCACGATCTTGAGGTGTTTAGAATAGACAAGTTTCTCTTGTGTTTTCGATGGAATGATGTTGTTGATCACTTCCAAAGGGATCTCGAATTATTCATATTGTTTTGGACTTCTTGATATGTATGATGTTTTTCAGCTTCAAAGAGAGTTTTTTTCACAATATTGCGGGAGGTTTTGTATTCTGCCGAGCCGAATTCATTGCGCGTTAAGAGAAAGCGACGATGAAGACGGTTTCTTATTTTCATATGATCCTTGATCTCTTCGGTGAGAAATGGGCATGGGCGGCTGCGGATCTTGACTGTCTTTATCGGATCGTGTGCATCAAGTACTTGGCGAAAAGCGTTATTAAAAATGTATAACTTGCTGTTTACATCAGGTGCAGCAAACACTGAAAGTAAGGAGTCAGAATGAGACGCCAAGTCGAAGGTGAAATTCTCGGGATCATAGTTCTTATAGCTGCGCAGTGTTATATAACGAGGAAAGATCTTGGGAGATTTCAGTTTCAACACAACGTAAACTGGAAGGTGGTCACTAATTGGAAAATTAATGACACCACTGTTACGAACATAAGAGGGGTCTGAGACTAATAAATAAATCGATTAAGTACTACGTTCGTAATTCTTGGACAATTTCGGTCTTGAAAAGGCAAAAAGCGGCAGAAGATAGTCAAAACAAAGAAAAAAGAAATGACTCCTTGAGTTTGTTGTGCTACAAACACAGTTGGCTTTCTTTTCGGCTGTCGAAGTAAACAAGTCATTCTTAATTCTTACTAAAGCGAAATCTTGTTGCAATAAAATAAATCCTTTCTTAACCAAGCTTGTTCGGTCAAGATGGCTAGATACTCGCTTCGTTCTTTTTTTCGCATTTTTATGGACTTCGACTTCGTCTCCGTCCACAAAAAAGCAAACAAGAACTCGGGAAATATCCAGCCATCTTGACCTCACGCTTGGTTAACATAACATTACGCTATACCATGTCAAGTTAAAAGTCTGGGCCCGTTGTTCAAAAGAGAGTTCAGTCTAAACCTAGGGTTAAATCGGCCTAACCCTGGGTTAAATCTTAAGAGGAGGTTAGTTGCGTGGTTCAACGGAAGGTTAACACTAACCCCGGGTTAAACGAGGGTTAAATTTAACCCACGGTGCGAGCAGGGTTAAATTGTTAACCTCCGGTTAAATCAGGAATAAAAAGTAAAATGGCGGACTTGTTGTTTTGCGATTTACGCAGAAGGCGACGGCGAGAAAGGAGATTTAGAGCCTGAACTAAGTGTGAAATCGACGATTTCACAGACGAAGAGCTGCGTGCTCTTTACCGCTTTCGACGAGAGTCTATTTTATTTATTACCTATCTTGTTGCCGGTGATATCAGTTGCAACACTCGACGGAATCACGCCTTACCGCCGCTCCATCAAGTTCTAATTCCTCTCAGGTTTTACGCCAGTGGAAGTTTCCTACAAGTTATAGGCGAACTTCGGCTGTTGTCCGCATTGCCGCACCAACAGCGTTTACAGCATCGGCGATTTTTTTCCACATTTCATTTTTCTCTGATTGGTGACGTAGTTTGTAAACTTGCTTTAAGCTAAAGGTTTTCTTCGACTTTTTCTGTCAAAACGGCAATTTTTGAAGCGCTAAAATTTTGTTTTCGAGCTATGCGTGAGATAGCTAAGGAAGCCATTTTGCAGAGCTCCCAACTTGGTCACCATGGCAACATTGTACGAATAATTTATTATGGGATGCTAACCGCGGGTTAAACGCGCTTAAGGTAACTAGAGGTTAGCTAACCTGTCCTCTAACCACGCTTCGAACATCGCAATTTTAACAGCGAGTTAATAATAATAATAATAATAATGAACGTTCTTAATACGCATTTAAGAATCTCAATGCGCTTACAATAAATAATAGATAATAAACTCACGGTTAGGAAATTTAACCTCCGGTTAGGCCTAACCAGAGGTTAGCCTTGGTCAAACGGCGCATGATAGTGGATGATAGTTGATTCTCTTCAAACTATCATCAACTATCATTCACATGGTCAAACGGCCAAAAAAATTCGTGATAGTTGTTTTAGTATATACTAAATCAGTGAGATAATATACACCACCAGAAATTGATTTTAATTCATACATTCCAGCAACGATTCCAACATTTTCACGCGCGGAAGTGAACAAGGGAGGTTACGCAAGATTAATTTGCATTTGTAAACAAAATCTTTCTCAAGTTGGTTTTTATCGATAAACTCTGGGTTAAAAACTTACACCATTACCTTTAAACACGGCCAAACCAAATTTAATCGCTTTCTTTGCGTTTTCATGGACTGCGTCGTTAATTTGAGTGATTTCTTTGCTTGTGATGGATGCAAACTGGGACGCCATTTTTCCCCGAGTTGCTCAGAGGTAAATAGCAAAGGATATTCGGAGTTTGACTAGCCAATCAGATCGCGCCTTCAACGCTATCCACTGTTTTAGTGTATACTAATTAAACAACAACAAACATATGAAACATATGTATGAACTGCGGTTATGAAACGTATATGTGCACGATCCTTCGCAGTAAAGCACTATTTGAGCAATAGTGAAAATCAGACCTGAAAAAAATTTCAGGCCTGTACGGGATTCGAACCACTGACCTCTGCGATACTAGTGCAGCGCTCTACCAATTGAGCTAACAAGCCAACTGGGAGCAGGCCATCAAATTAATTCGACATAAACCCGTAGATGATAAATCAAACAACAACAAACATATGAAACATATGTNTCATGCGCCGTTTGACCGGGGCTTTAGTTTAACCTGTCTTTTGAACAACTGGGCCCTGACTAGTTTCCAAGCCCCTTCTCTGTATAGCGTTCTCAAACTTTTGCAAACTCAGAGAAGTGTGTCTCCTTTTAGCAAATTGTTTACAAAATGTATGATAAAACATAGTAAAAAATATCGAATTCAGTTTTCGCATGATATCATTAATCAAAACCTGATGTCTGTGATAGATACCTTCGGTTAGCCTTTAGCTTAGGCGGATGACAAACTTGTCAGTTTTGATCATTCTTGATATCATGCCAAACCTCAACAAATAATTGCTTACTAAGCAAACAAGAATATCGTAAGTACTTTATATTCTTATTCTGCTCTGTAAGTTGCAGATCCTTTCCCAAATGGTTTAAAACTTGCTGCAGGAGTCAACTTGAACGTGGGTAGGAACTTTTAATAATTGTTAATTTTGAATTTTTCCCTCATAGCCTCTCTTTCATTTCAATTAATGAGTCAGATAATTACCAATAAGGAACAAACCAAATAAAAAAAAAAAATACAACAACTTTGAACAATGAACTTAAGGACCTTCTTCATTTGTAGTAACAGTCACAATAGAGCTGCTATTGCTTCTGCCAACTGCATTTGTTGCAAACACTCTAGCGAAGTACTTTCTAAAAGGCAAAAGGCCTGTAAGAGAAGCAGTTGTGGAGGAGCTGGACACTACACAGGTACCAATTGAGACTGTTCCTTGACAGTAAACGTCTCTAAAGTTTTCTGTAACTTCCCTGATCTCCACTGTGTAGTTCTGAATGGCACTGTTTCCATTGAAAGCAGCCGTCCAGGAGATATTTGCCATCCGTGAGCCTTTTGTGACCACTTTGACATCATTAGGTGGGTCAGGCACCGCTAAGAAAGAAAATACCATTTCAGTAAACATTCAAACATACAACTCATGTACTAGATTTGTACAATTTCAGTAGAAACTTAATCTATCTTCACCAAAAGACGTATAACAGATACATGAAGAATTTTTAAAATGTTCCACAGTGAGCTCCACACTAATGAAAGTTCATCCTCCTTAACTAGTTGCATAAAGACCCTTTTCCTGGGAAGTGGTCAGTGCCTTGGCCATTTTTTGGAACCTGCCCCTTCTCATTTAGAATCCAAAATTGACAATAACATAGCTACTACATTCTTTGGCTGTTCAAATGGCGAGGCAAATAGGGAAGAATTGGCTAATAAGTTTGCAAAAAAGGTGGCCAATTGGTGACCTGTTGTTAGGGGGTTTGAAGAACACTGTCACACCTACATTAAAGTACATGGAAATGGTGTTTAACATTTAGCACAAAGGTAAAAAAATCTAAAAAAGTTTCCACTGAATATAATTAACGGGCCCTTCTTTTAATATATTTATTTTACTTTTAAGTTCCCTTAATTCTCTCATTAACAAAGTTTCAAAAGCAGCATAGTACACTGTGTGCTACTACAGTACCCAAGCTTCCCTTCTCCATTTTGTGTTTGTTCCTTTCTACTTTTCTTTTACTTTCTGGTGGTGATTAAGTTTTTCTCGTGGCAACCATTCTATGATTAAAGGCTGCCCAAAGGTGATTTCAAAATGGTCTAGAAATTTTCCACCTAGGAAATTTAACGAGGCCATCAATGAAATTTT